AAACGTTTCCAATTATTTTAGCCCTATTTATAACTATAATAATTGAATATCCTGATTTTGTGTATTTTTGCTAAGGGGAAATCCAGAATATTCTATCGATCGATCGATTGTTGTCCTATATTTTACTTTTACTTTATGAACTGTATTGGTGTTATAAACTCGGTTATAAACGAAACCTTCACGTCATGATTACAAGTGCTATTTAATTTTGAAATGTGTGTCCTATATAAATCGCTTTTTATTAAGAGTAAGTCATTATATTCACAGTAAAGGATACAAGAAGGTAATATATTATATTATACCTACTACTTCGATTTCTTTTACTAGTGATTATTTAATTAACATCATTTGCATATAGAGATTACATTTTTTCTCGTTTTTAAAATAATTCAGATGATTGAAATTCCCCGTGATCAATAACACCATGATTTTATTTACTAATTATAATTTTGACTGAGTGTGAATTCGTATGGCGGCTGATGAATGCATAGCATGAGACGCTTACCCTGTCGACATACCCTGTCTCGCTCCTTTTGGAGTTGATGCGATTCCCTAAGGTTTTGATTGTTACCTTGTTTTGCCTTCTCGATTTACGAGATTTGATCATCGGTAAACTACTGCCTATTGTGGTAACATTTTGTAGTTAATCTTTATAACACGTAAAAGTATTCACAGTACTGTATTCACAGTACTGTATTCACATAGTAAGCTTTCTATCATGTATACGAGGTCAATATAATTGAAGTTAGAACATATAAGAAGTAATGATCATATAGTTTTCTCAATTGAATTGTTTCTCATTATTGAAGGTCGAAAGGTTGCCTATAATTGCTTACATCCACTTCATTTGAACTTGATGGATAGTTGTCTCATTGGCAATCATACCACATCTCCTTATTTTTATATTTTAAGGTTGAGCAGTCAATACCGATAATCAAAAACGTTTTTGAAAAAGATGTGTATCAAATCCAAATGCCACAGTGGAAAAATGGGCAAAATTTGATTTTGAGACTTTTCGGACTTTTTGTAAAAGATTTTGAAGAATCACTGTTTTTCTTATATTTGTAATATTTCACTAAGGGATTTTGTTATTTTTATTGTGAAAGGTTTAAGTCAAGTTTGGAAGATTAAGTTAATCTAATTTCATGTTTCAATTTGTTTTCAATTAGCGGCATTTACTTCAATCTTACCTTGTATTTTTGTATCTATTTAATTCGATAAAAAAGTCTGTATGGTCTATTGTTAATTATTAGCTATGTGCTAATTTTTCTATAATCCGATAATTGTATTTGTCACTCATTTAGAGAAATATTTGTTATGTCTTTTCAAGTAATGTTTGGTTTGTTATATAAACTGTTTTATTATTTAGAGTTAGAACATACTCACCCCTTCTCGTCCAATGAAAAGTCAGGTTTTTCCCTTCTAATTTTCATAGTACATGGCTTTCCATGCACAATAAAATGCTATACATGAATGACTTTTCATTGTAGATTAATTATGAAAGTGAATTCTTAATAATTTCACTAACGAAGTGTACAATCCCCTGAGGCATTTTCCTTGGGAAAACAGCCTACTGATTAAGGTGAAAGAGAAAAGAATTATAAAAAAACATTTTGAACATTGCAAATCTTTGTATTAATGGTACATATATATAACAAACAAAAAAATAAAATAAAATGGGGGCAAAAATGTAGGTAAAATTATCTTTTATACAATATTTATACCAGACATTCTAGTCGATTATTTTTTTCAAGAAAATAATGTCAGACTGCTGATATATATAAAGCAAAGGATTTTTTAAAAGAAAAAACCCCACAATACATGTACATTTTTCAATAAAAAGTAAGCATCTGCATGATGTTGGATGGTCATAATTCAAATATTTATAGAGTAAGTTTTAAATTTATCAAAATATATTCAAATTTCAGAAAGCGGATTGATATAACATTGTGTGCTAATTAAAATCAAAAAATTTAAGGTATATAAATATCAAATTTTTACCTGATGCAGAAGAAAAACTCAAATGTTTGAACAATTTGTACTTTTTGTCCTTACAAACTATGTCAGTTCTATTTCATTCCATCCATTGTAATTGTCATTACCTATGTTATATACTCACTTCATTATAAAAAGTGAATTCTTATTTAGTTTTAAATATTACAATGTGTAAGGATAATTTTGTAAGGTCACTCGAAAGTGTGAATATGTTCTAAATTGGTCAGACAATACTTGGTCATGTTTTATGAAGATTTAAAGCCCTCGTCTACGCCTTGGGCTTTAAATCTTCATAAAACATGACCAAGTATTGCCTAACCTATAAATGGCAGATTGGATTTAGTATTACACTGAGCAGTTCCAACTCTGTACGATTGTATTCCATGCTGAACTTATTAAATTATATATCGCGGAAACCAGAGTCGTCATTGATTGTTACAAAAGTTAGTGTCAGAGTCAGTGCAGACTCGTAGTATTGTCTATTGTGTGTGTGTGTGGTTGCAGGCCAACACACATCACCCAGTCACAAGATACACCCAGTTTCTATTTGTGACACAAATATCATTCTGAAAATGCAACAACTTTATTTAAGATCTTATGAAGGCTAAGTTTATAAGACATAATAGGTTAGTGCAATTGAAATTTTAATCGTTTTATTTTAACATTTATATATTGAACGCCCAAAACGAACATAAAGTTAAATAAAAAAATGAACATGAAATGTTTTTTATTGAATATATTTCAGTCTGCTATACTTAACACTCAACTTGATACTATCAAACATATATATATATATATATATATATATATATATATTTGCAATATCCCTCCCCAACAAAAACAAGAACAAGAACAAAACTAAACTAAACTAAACCCACAATAAACACCCAAACATCGGTAATCCACTGATGCCTTAATTTATGCTCAACGTTACCACGAAAAGCTTTTAAAATCTTTTAAAAACTGTGTTTTGAACCCGGAAAACATTCTTATCATTACCAAAACTGGATAATCATTGTTTGTCTAAACTATTTATACACTTGACACCGTCAAGTCATCAAAATGAAAGGTGATCAAAGAAGGCATACTTACACTCCTTTAAGACTTTTATTCCACTTCATTGATATTATGAAAATGATGCAGAAAATTTCTATACATATGTTATTGTAAAGAGACATTCGAAAGGTGATAGGAAGTACTTTTTGAATATATCAAGGAAGGAAGCATAGTCTTCCAAATGACCATTTAATAATAAATTCAATAAATAAACTTCCTATAATGGTTTACTATTATAAATTTTGACTTGGATGGAGAGTTGTCTCATTGACACTCATACCACATCTTCTTATATCTATTTATCATAGATACCAGGCATACAATTTTGTACGCCAGACGCGCGTCTATATTCTGTTTGTTAATAGCTAAATATTAACGACCTTTTTGATTTTACTAAAAGATCTCGTATAATCAACAATATTAGAGAAAACAATATGTAGTTGTAAATTACACCCTCCCGTTTTGCCTCAATCTCCCTAATGTGTATTCCGAAATGTGTTCACTATTTGTACACGCATGAAATTCCTGTTATTATTTTTCTTTTGATACATTTTTACGTGCATGGTTAATATAAATAACATTAATTTACATTGTTCAAATACATAAAAATTTTCCTTTCCTGGTATCGAATGTAAGTGTGAAAGAGGCTATGCAAATCTTTATGCACGCAAAATCCTTATTTTCTGGGGGAGGGGGGGAAGGGGTGGGGGTTCAATTCTCTATTGTCTAAAAAAAATATTAACTTGTATCTAAAAGGCAAGTTTTTGATAATTGCCAAATTTTTCCAAGATCTATTTGCCGTTTTAAGCTATATTAAGAATTTATGACCTGGTAAAATCATATGAAATACGCGAAAAATAATCATTATCCCAGAGTTTTTTCTAATAGAAATTATAAAAAAAACAGATAAAAAAATATTGATTCTGTATTGTCATAGTTGAAAAATATGCTCCCTGTGTATTTTTCTTTAGTAAATTAAATTTTCAGGAATACCAGATTATGGTAACAGTATTTTGTTCTTTAATGTTGTTGTTTTCTTCAGGAAATAAATGAAATGCATACTAAGATTTATACTTTTAAGCTTTAAATGCATGCACTTTTTTTATACTGAAACGAAAATGAATACAAAATGAATTGGACAAATTTAATGGGTTGTTTAAAAACCTTATTATATGGAGTTGACCATATTAAGATTTTGACTTCTAAGCTTCAAATGGGAAATTAATTCTGAAACAAAAGTTTTCAAAAATGCAATGGATGTTTGAAATAGAATATGAGTGGGATGTTTAAAATAGAATATGAGTGGAATGTTTAAAATAGTCTATGTGTGGGTAGATGATGTCTTTTCATCACAAAATATCTTCCCTCTCATACTAACAAACAGTCTAAAATGACAAAGGTCTCTTAGCTTAAAAAAAAGACACCACAACATTATTTGAGCTAACAAAAAATTGTGCAACTTGTTTCGAAACAGAAAATAAAAAAATGTTCTATCTATATATTCATTTCATTGTTTACTGACAAAACATGAACAAACACTTCATACATTTTATGAGTCCGAAGCGCTTTTCTGGATTTACCTTCATCAGGAACGCTCAAAGCCGAATATTTGAAAGACCAGGATGTAGAAGAAGCATTTGAAGAGCTATATGACCATAAAAGACATAAAAAAAATAGCCAAATCCATCTAAGGTCAACTTTGCCTAAGGTAGTTGAAACCTTAGTTTCTTAATAATCATTACCATATCGTTTCATCTAGATTATCATGATACTAGTAGCTAAGCACTGGCTCTGGGATAATACCTATGAATAGACAAAGAAATTATATACAAATATCACTGTGTGAGAATGTTAACTTCAGCAATCGTAATTTTAATAATTAAATACTTCTCGGTTACTAGTTATAAATTACATACTAGCACAATATAATTTCAACAATATTCTTTCAGGCTATACAGACATGAATCTTTATAAGCAAGAACGAGAGTCATTAACATCAGTAAATATAACTGAACATGAAGTCAGCAGACGAGTATGTTGTCTGGCCAATAAAATTAGAAAATTTGTCAAGAAGAATCTTATGCTCATCCTAACCTTTGCAGGCATTGTTTTGGGATTTTCTATTGGATTTGCTGTAAGAACAGCACAGCCATCGAAAGACACCTTGATATGGATAGGTATATTATGATATGTTTTATTTGTTGTAGTCGCAATTTTGCCGTCTTAAAATCCAACTTATCTGCTCATTTATATTTGAGCATGAGCTGTGTGTACTTCCGGACATATAAACTTACAAACGGGTTTTACTTCTGTTTATGCTATCTAATCTTAAGTATAGTGTTCTATTTGATCAATGTCGTTCGTCTGTTCGTGTATCCTTCATTTTGTTATGATATTGTCTGCCCTTCTCATTTCTCTTATATGATAATACACATACGTCATGAAATTGCAGTAATTCCAAATACATTTATGGCCCCAGTTTCCGTGTTATAACAAGAGACCTTAACATCGTCCAGGACCGAGAGTTGAAATCATTCCTTAGTAAAGGTCTTAATTATCGTCCCCCGTCAACTATTAATTGGAATGAGTGTCGTAACATCATCCACGACTCACTCCGTACTTACTGTATGAAATGGATAAAACGAGAAAAAGCTGACAAAAAAATCTTAGATTCCTTTTTTAATTCAGTAATGAACATAGTTGATATTCGTATTAAACATTTTACAGAACATTTTACTCCTAACGACAACCATAATAGCCCTATTTCTTGTATCAAACATAAGCTAAAAGAACTTGGCAAGGAATTTGTGTTTGTCCCGGCTGATAAGGTTGCCAATAATATCATTATTGTTTGAAGAAAATTTTAACTGAGGTTCTGCAAAAGGAAATCACGAATTCATCAACAATCTAACTGACTCAATTTTCGAAAAATGAAATCTTTAACAAACATGAACTTTTAGCTACCTCTTTACAAGCAGAATCGAATATCATAAAAGTTCCAACTATGTACTGGCTTCCGAAGCTGCACAAAATATCTTACAAATATAGATTTATTTCGTCTTCAAGCCATTGTTCCACTACTAAACTATTCTACTTACTACTACATTTGGTACAATAAAAAACTTCGTAATAGATTGTTCAAATAAGGCCTTTGAAAAAAGTGAAATTAATTAATTTTGGAATGTCAAAAATTCGTTTGAAGTACTTGATAAATTGCATTCTCATATTGGTGAATTCGAATCTGTTCAAAGTTTTGATTTCTCTGTATTGTTACGAGTTACAGTTTATGACTAAAATCAGTAAAGACCCATCGAAACAATATCTGATACAAAAATTTGATAACGCATTTAGATATTTGGAAGATATATTGACTCTTAATAATGACGACTTCAGTATGTACACGAAAGAGATTTATCCTGTTGAACCGACTTTTAATAAAGCTAATACTAACAATGAACACTGCCCTTTCTTGGACCTTGATATCTACTATATCTTTAACGGAAAGCTTAATACTAAAATTTGCGATAAAAGAGATGATTTTTCCTTTCCTGTTGTTAATTATTCATTTTTAGATGGTGACGTTCCCTTGGTACCAACTTATGTTGTTTATATATCTCAACTTGTTCGATTCGCTCGTGTATGTAACAACGTATTTGATTTAAACTAAAGAAATCTCTGTATTACTGAAAAATTATTACACCAGGGTTTTCGATATCACAAACTTGTCAAAACATTTACTAAATTTTATCATCGGAACAAGGACATCATTCGTAAATATAAATCAACGTTCTGGTATTTCGCATCCATCGTTTATGGTAATATTCTGTACGGATCACAAAAATGTCGTCATTCACCTCAAAAGCTAACCAAACCTGTAAACAGAATTATTCAGAAGGGATATAGTTACGATACTGTTATCAGGTCATTAAAGATGGCATTTTTGGAATTAATATTGATTCACACATAGGGTCTTTGCATCGGAAATAAACACATTTATTCTACAACCAGTTGTTGCAATGATACGGGTTATGTTCTTCTCGTATATTTTATGACGGTATGATGCTAAACCCCTGACGGGAGGGATTGTGTTTGATTTTCATTTGATGAAGACATAATTTTTCGATCAGTTTAATTGAGGTCTGAATCTGACATGTCTGTAACTGCTAGTAGTCCTTTGTTAATATTTGTTGATCATTGTCATTTTGCTTAGTTTCTTCTGTTACCTATTCTAACATCGGACTCGAACTTCTTTTAAACTGAGTTTTACTGTGCACATTGCTGTGTTTTTGTTTATTCCACATCGGCTAGATGTATCGAGGGAGGGTTGAGATCTCATAAAACATGTTTAACTCCGCCACATTTTTGCGCCTGTCCCAAGTCAGGAACTTCTGGCCTTTGTTAGTCTTGTGTGTTTTTTTAATCATGGTTCGGAGTTAAGTGTGACGTCCATTTTCGCAGAACTATTATACATTATTGTTTATGGGCCAGCTGAAGCCCTCCTACGTGTGATCAAAGTCATAAAAATTATATAGTGTACAATGTGACAACACACATAAGACATTCTATCTGGTCATTCAATTTCCATTTCGCAAATGTTTTATTGCATCTCCTGTTTATCATTCATCGCCATGTACTATGCAATTCCATACCAGAAAATGCTTCAAATATGTTTAATTTAACAGGAATGCCAGGAGAATTGTTTTTACGCACTCTAAAGTTGTTGATCCTGCCTTTGATTGTATGCAGTGTAATCTCAGGTAAGATAGTATGAGCATAACTACGTTACACATAAAGTTTTAATTTTAAACTATAGTATAGACAATAATGTAAGTCACTGGAGACTGGATTCCATATACATTGCTGGCGATTCTGTTTCTTTTGTACGACAGGAATTAATTAAAAAAACATTTTAGCGCCAAAGAATCAATAGTGAAATCTCCTCAAGACGAAGAAAATCTTAAACGTATTTGGTACAACTTTTCTTTTTTCTAATTTTTTATGCTATTCAAATTTGAATTTGATTTTGCCTAGAACCTTTTGATTCGAGTCTTATGTCGACTAAACGAGCGTCTGGTGTTGAAGTATAAGCTTGGTATCTTTGATTTTTTTTCAGTTGTTTTTTTGGTTTAAGTCCAAAACAACTTTACTTCATGCAAACACAAACTTCCTATGTGCAAATTATTGCATATAAGAAAAAAGAAGATAAGATGTGGTATATTCGACAAACATCACAAAACACAGTAAACCAAGACTGAAGTGTTAGTCTGTAACGAATACAAATGTTTGAAAATATATTATACACGAAAACAGAAATATTCAACCATGTCAATTAAGAAAACACTTGGTGAAACAGTCAGTTTTTATTAAAAAAAAGATCAAGCCATTTACTTGATACAAGCAAACATAGCATAAGATTACCAATTCTACACTTGATTAGAAATGTTTACAATTTAATTTTGTAAAGTAAAATGGACTCGAATTTTTCAAACTTATATGTCATGTGTATTGTTTTTATTGCAATAAAAAACACATTTTCTTTTGATATTTATATTTATCAGTAATTGCTTGAAATGTGTATTATTGTAAATTTTGGGTTTGTTTTTCGTTTTTAGGAAGTGCTGCATTAGATCCAAAGTCAAACGGCAAAATCAGTGCAGTTTCATTCCTCTTCATTGTCATAACTAACATATTAGCTTGTGTAGTTGGTGTAACATTGTGTATCATTTTCAAACCAGGTATGCGCTATTTAAGATATTTAAAAGATCCATAATGTTAGGTCATTATACAATTTACATTATTATACCTCCTGTCAAAATGCCAGATTTTGATTGGTTGATACGAGGGAGACAATTTACTCTATCCTATGGCAAATACTCTATTACCCTTCACGGAGACGCTTGATCAAGTGTGCGCTTTATTAAATACGAATGGTTGTTATGTACAAGACGTGATAGTTTATTACTTTGAATTTGAAATTTAATAGACAGTAATAAAAGAACATTCAGTATAATAAATTAAATAACACATATCTGAGAGGGTGATAGAGCAGATTGTTACCCTTCGAAAAGACATTGTCAATCTTGGCTTCGCCTCAGTTGACAATGTTTTCTCGGGATATCAATCTGCTCTATCACCCTCTAAGCAATGTGTTATTTATATACTGTCCAACAATACTTTATTCCTATTGCAGTCATTTGATAATGGGTTTGCATTTTCATTGAAATATGAAAATATATATACTGTAATAGCACAATTTATTTGAAAGACAGAACTGCGTCATACCGAAAATATTTATAAGCTGCACAACATATGCATTTTATTCATGTACTTACATTTTACTGTTATCAGAAACAACAAGTATCAGTTAAAAATGTCATACGGGCGCTTTATCATTTAAGCACTGTCTTTATTTTATGCCTCATTATATTATGAAATGTCGACTTCAGTCTTAATGAAAATCAAATGCCAAGATTGAATTAAAATTAATTTTTATTAAAAAGACTAGTATAAAATGTAGACAAAAGAACATATATTTATATTCTCAGGGGATGGCGTTCTTATGTCTAAAGACACTAAAGAGACAGCTATTGTTGAAACACAAGACATATTTATTGATTTACTCAGGTAAATATATTCGAACTTTGTGGTAAAATGCTTTGTTTTTATTCAGAAGTCCCATGATTGTCAAATGGTACATTGATTGAGGCTTTAAATAGTTCACATGTAGTTATTTCAGATGTGTTTAATCAATGCTCAATTATCTCAGTAATTTTCTTTTTTCATTTACCAAATAATTCAAAATATTGAAGACAAAATAAGCATAAAGGTTTGAAATAACTGCAAATGATTCATTTCGGTATTCTACATTATTAAAGTTTTAAAGTTTCATAACTTACTATTGGTTTATGTTTTACTGAACATCCATTCAAAATCGCGATGATTACTGTTTCCTTCAAAGTTTAATTTTCAGATGTGCAATTCATTTGGACATTTCAAGTGTAACAAACAAACCCCAAATATTGCTAATTCAATTTGCATTGATTTACAATTTTACCAATAAGAATCTAATATGAATAATATAATAGAACACCATTTTGTCAATCTTTGTAGGAATTTATTCCCAGACAACATGATAAAAGCCACATTTTCTCAATCTCAGACTGAAAATAAAGTAAATTTTCTAAATATTGAACGAAACACGACCAATGGGACTATTTCTGAAGTTGTACAAACTATAAGTAAAAGTATGAAGGATTCAGGAGGCACAAATGTGCTTGGTAAGTCATACATTGTTAACATATTTTTTTATCACTAAATCACAAATGACCTAAGCTATAACAGATTGATTTTCATGATCAAGTAACACGTGATGTAGTAGGTTGATTATACCACAGGCCATAGCAGTTTGGAACGTTGCAAAATTATGAAGTAGGTAGCAATAAACACACTAAATTGTTTTTACTTGTAAGAAAGGCAACTTTTACTAATAATACTATTTCTGTAAATATAGATTTGGTTTGTGTAGTGACAGCGTTTTTACATCACTCTATATGAATGAATGCTACATTACTGAATTTGTATTACAGTAGAAACAAGGATTACACAAATGAGACAATAACCAAACAACAAACACAACCAAACGACATCTACAGGAAAAGATAGACGTCTATAACAATGAACGAGTGTCCGTAGTATATGTCAAGCTCTATAGTATTCGGAGTAAAAAGTTGTTTATAAAAACTGTGAAAGATCTGCTGCCAAAGGTTTTTTTTTTCAAATGACCAGATTATAATGATATACTTAGTACCAAAGTTGACGTTGTTGTGAATCATGGAACACATACAAAAATAAGAAGACATGGTATGATTACAAATAAGACAACTCTCCACCAGAGACCAAATAACGTAGAAGTTAACATACAAAAATATGTAGATATGGTACGATTACATATAAGACAACGCTCCACCAGAGAACAAATAACGTAGAAGTTAACATACAAAAATAAGAAGATGTGGTATGATTACCAATAAGGCAACTCTCTCTCAGAGAACAACTGACGTAGAAGTTAACATACATACTTATAAAACATTGCACTAAGTCCATTTTGTTTTAATTACTAACAGGTTTGATAACTGTTTGTACTCTTGTTGGTATTGCATCAAGTAGACTTAAAGACAGAGTTAAAGTCTTTATTCAGTTCTTCCAGGCTGGAGTAGATATCATATTGCTGATTTTAAAGTGGATACTATGGTAAGTGTAGTACATTAAAGTAAAACAGATACCAAATCGATTTGCAATATCTTCACTTTGCAGGTAATAATAGGACCAAAGATAAGATAGTTCAGTGAAATACATAGAAAAAAACTTTTCATGTCAACACAGATGTGCTGATTACTGGGCTGGTGATACCCTCGAATGGAAACAACGACCAGCAGTGGCATGAATTATCAACGTTTATAATACATGGAAATTGGCTTTGCTCGTCTGCAAATCAGGCATTATATAAAAGTTGTAAAATGTGATGTTTTATCAAAATATACTGAACAAATCATGACAGCTCTGACGAATTTCCCATTTTTTACCTGAAGAATTAATCCCATTTATTTTTATTCATATTAATAACAGTGTAATTTAACATTTAATTTTTATTTTACAGGACAACACCAGTAGGAGTTGCTAGTTTAATAGCGGTATCCATGGCAGGAATAACAGATATTTCAACTGTATTTGCACAGCTAGGCATGTTTGTCTTAACTGTGACAACAGGAATTGCCATACATCAACTTGTTTTTATGCCACTAGTTTTGTTTATTCTCACTCGTAGAAATCCATATTCATATCTAATTACGTTGGTTAAACCTTGGATGATAGGACTAGCCACTACGAGCACGTAGGTTTTACTAACTTTTTACTTTTACTTTTAATTCGTTTTATTCGATCAATTTAATAGTACACATTTATTGAAGATAATGTAGTTTTATGAAGCTATCATGTCCAAAATACTTTTTTATGGCAACTTTTGTTGGATGTGTAAATAACATAGCAAAATATTGGAAATGACTTGATTAATGAGATTTTCACGAAGCACAAAAACATTAGATTTGCACGAAGCACAAAAACAACTGACATAAAGACAAATGACAAAAGACAAAACTTACCCAACTAAGAGAAGGCTATTCGCAGTTACTGGAAAGCTAGTTCAAACCCAATAACAACTAATACATAAACCTTATTTCCAAGATTAGATGTTCGATAGCAATGTTTATTGAATGTTTTTGTTGTTGTTAATTTTACCACATGTTCTGTTTTTCGTAATATCGGTCATGTTTGTATATTTTTGGTATACAGTAGACCGCTAAGAATGACAGATATCAAGTGGTTTCAGAGAAAATGATTTAGAAAAAAAAGATTAACGATTAAATTCAAAGTATCACTGCTGACCTATTTTTGTTTACTAATATGGTGTACACCGTGGTTAAAACACTATTTTTATATTCCAGTGCAGTAGCAATTCCAGAAATGCTAAATGCATGTGAAGAGAAAAATAAAATAGACAAACGTGTGAGTCGGTTTGTTATTCCATTTTGTGTGACATTGAATGCCGATGGCAGTGCATTGTTTATATCAGCAGCCGCTGTATTTCTTGCAACCATTACTGGAATGTCATTGTCAGCAGCAGATTATATCATTATATGGTAAGCATGAATATTGAGAGACAAAGACAGAAAACAGATAAAGATTTTTTCCTTGCTTGTTTAAAACGGAAATCAAACGCAAGTCAGTTAAAAAAAATAGAACAGAAAAAATATTTAGATAGTAAAAACATTGAAGAACAAATGGCTTTAACAAATTGCAAGTAATGAACTGTAAAATCACCTCGTAATCGATTGCTCTGAATGTGTAAATATAAAAATAAAAAGATGTGGTATGATTACCAATGAGGCAAATATTCACCAGATACTAACTATCTTGGATGTAAGAGACTATATATATTTATACGGTCTTAAACAATGGTCTAAACCCTAAATAATTGTAAATGGTAAAAAGCACTGAACTGACAAAATGCAAAATAATTCAAACGAGAAAGAGACCATAGTTAAAGTATAACTCTTTTTTATATTTAAAACCATTTATGTTTTTTCTTAAATTTACAGTTGAATGTAGTAGACCCATGAGTGTATTTTATCAATTTTTCATATTTTTTTTTATATCTGATCAAATAAATCAACGATATTCATAACTTCATTGAAAACAAAAATCATTAGAAAACGAATTCAATAGTTCAGTAGACGAATAAAGAAATTCAAAAGCTTCAAGTCAAATATATTGGCATTCAAATGATGACGGTTAAACTTAGATTTGAAGCTTTGGGATATACAAAACAAAATCAAACAGCGTTAATGATATCAACTTTGTTTGAAAGGACAGAAAAATAATGATGTCCGAATGGCGACAATCAGCGAATTATCTCTAACTGTCAAAGCTTATAATCCATTGGAATACTACAAAATATATATGTCTATGATTTGGTTTGACTCCATAACAATCCCCGATATCTTTTGTAATTAAATAGACTGGTGTTAAAAGGGGGATATTTAAAAGACACGATGCGACGTTTTCCTGATGAGAATACCAGAAATTACAAGCATTTTCGGCTATCAAGTTGAGGTTAAGTTACTTCAGCCTGTTAAATGCGTACTAACGAAAGCATTTTAAAAGTAATTGTACCGAAAGGTGGTTTATTTTAAGTACATTTCAATAATTTTCTTTTTTTTTTTTACTTTTTTGTTTATCCATTACATTTGTACTTACTTACTATAAATGTTAAAAAGTTATACAATGAAAGAAACTTCTTTTTCTTTGATATCAATGTGCAGGTGAAATATCATTAAACGGTACAAAATTTAGATTTTTCATATTCCGCCATCAATGGTATCTCTTCAGGGATTCTCTAGGGAAAAATATATGAGAATCCCAAATACAGTCAATCGTTGTTCATGATGCGTCGAAACAAACAAAAAAGGACCAAAAATTGTATTTAGAACTTTTTAGTTCCATCCTCTTTCAACACATATATTTATTTACAGCATGTTAACTGGTTTTGCAACCTTAGCTTTGCCGTCCATTCCAAGTTCTAGTATTGTGACTCTAGTGATGGTTCTTACGTCCCTGAATATACCTGCTGGTCAAATTTCTCTGTTGTTTGCTGTTGAATGGTATTTGTAAGTACAATTTAACAATTGTGTCAACGGTTTAACCGTTCATAGAAATTTCTGAAAATAAATAAATGCGAAATTATAAAAGTACAAAAATTGTTGTCTGTTTCCTGTTAAATTAATTTTTTGTAACTGAAATATTCCCAAAATACTAACAGAACGGTATTTACATTCAACAGAGTTTAGGCGTCGATAATTTGGTGGCCTGTCATGTCTTGCTACCAATATCCTTCATACCTTCCGTTGCCCAGACATTGATTAGTTTTCGCGTTTGAATTGTTTCACATTTTTCATGGTAGAGCTTTTATAACCGACTATACGATATAGGCTTTTCTCATTGTTGACGGCTGTACGGTGGCCTAAAATTGCTAACAACTACTTCATTTGAACACTTGTGGATAGTTGTCTCATTGGCAATCATACCACATCTCATTATTCTTATATTGTGTCATTGCGAATGAAGATTTGTTTTGGTTTATAAATGACTAACGGTGTAAAACCAGGTGAATGAGATTGTGAATGAAGATTTGTTTTGGTTTATAAATGACTAACGCTATAGAACCAGGTTCAATCCACCATTTTCTACATATGAAAATGCCTGTACCAAGTCAGGAATATGACAGTTGTTGTTCATTCGTTTCATGTGTTTGTGCTTTTGATCTTGCCATTTGATTAGGGACTTTCCGTTTTGAAATTTCCTCGGAGTTCAGTATTTTTGTGATTTAACTTTTTATACAGATAGTTTTGTATGAATTACGCATTCGAAAAAAAAGAGAGGCGAAAGATACCTAAGAGACATTCAAACTCATAACTCGATAATAAATTGACACCGCCATGGCAAAAAAAGAAATAGAATAAAAGACAAACAACAGTATACAAAATACATTATCTATAAAATTATGAATTACGAAAACAACAGTTGTGTGGTATAATCATTTTGGGAGAGTATGTATTTTTAACACTTACATAACATCCTATTTTTTGTATTGATAATACACTGCTTTGATTATTGATAAAAATACTTTATTTCAGGGACAGAATCAGAACAACAAGTAATATCGTCAGTCATACATTTTGTACTGCAGTGACTTATCATTTTTGTAAAAATGATTTAAATACATTGGACAGTATTCCATGTGATGATATGGAACTCGTTATAGATAACCCGGATATTCAACAGGACGCGTCTGAAAGGACAACTGGAAATTTATAAAGCACACGTATTGAGATCAGTGGCGTGTGTGGAGAACCAAATATCTCAAATGTCAACAAATCATCGAACTCAATATTCAAATGAAGCATCTAGATTTGGTCACAGTTGACCATGTTTTAGTTCAGTCTTTCGAAGTCACAATCTTGGAAGTATTCCTATGTTCCAGACTTGTCATCAAAGATTAAGAATTTTCATGTTCTGGTAACCATAAGCTTGATAGTGCAGAAGTACTTTCCATAAAGTCAATGGATAGTTGTAGGTTAAAGCAAACTGTTCATACATCCTTGTATATATTTTTAATGTCGGGCATTACATAGATATATATTGTTGAAGAACCACTTATATGGAAACATATTTTGGCATATGTGTACCAATATCGAATACAAAATACTTAGTTCATAGTGAGCGGTTTAGCTTGCTATAAAATCAGGTTCAACCCGTCGTTTTCTACATAAGGAAATGCCTGTGTCCTTATTTTGCCAATTGATAAGGGACTTTCCGTTTTGAATTTTCCTTGGCGTACGGTATTTTGTTATTTTAGCTTTTAAAGGAATAATATTTACTTGAAAAGCTCGAAAATCTGCAAATATAAAGATTGAATTATGTTTTTTTATAATTTATTCGAAACAAAATCAAGGGACGATTACAATTTTAACATTCAATTAAAGAGAAAACAGTCGTTCTGCTATATTAAAATTGTTTATAATTTTATAGTAGTTTATATCCTAAATGCTGACCTTATTTGGATTTATTTATTGTACTGAGATTTTATGTTATTAGAAACGAAAATGACACTTTATGAATTTTATGCGTCCGTAGTAGATAGTATTTCTATAATAATTATAATGTTTATTATTTTAGTGTATTTTACACGCTAAATGTTGACCATTACCTAGCATTTATTTCACTATATGAAGATTTTATGTGATAAGCAAATATTTCTGCTATCATGATAAAATTTATTATTTTAGTACAGTTTACACTTTTACGATGATCCTAAACTTGTGCTGAACTTATATTATTTATATTTTATGTTATTGCTCAACTTTACATTAACGTTATCTTTGAAGTATACTGTGTTTGTCTTATGTTAATGATCCTTACTTGTGCAGTGACGGAATGTTATTAACAGAGTTTAATTTTACTTCATCTTGCACGGATAAAAGTCCTAGAAAACTGGTGTACATAAATTTCAAATTGGACGTCAAAAAGTCATATGGTGCGTTTTAAAAGAATATAAACGTTTAGCTAGCACATTTGACTCAAAATGTGGACCATGAGTGGCATGCCGATTTACTTGTTATTCAAAGACTGTGAACAAATATTTTTCTTTTTTGTTTATTCAAACCTCAACCTTTGTTCATTAAGCGTAAAACTAACCCGAAAAGCACTTTGGAAAAAAACATTATGAAAGTGCAAATTGCTGTAAACAGTTCCTGATTGAGCTGAATACGTTTTTGTCCTTATAGATTCAGGACTTTATTTTACATGCTTCATATTTTGACATTTTCTTTGATAAAGACACAGCTTGCCGACTTCAAACTTAAATCTATAGCAAACGTCACATGATTATTCAACTTTCCTATTGTCTGCTCTCAATTTTTTCAACAGTAACATACCCTCTGCTTCATCGTATGGCGTGTACCTATCTCAAATAATACCTCACGCTCGTGCATGTTCACACTTTAGCGTCGTCATTAACAGGCGTGTGTGCACATGCGACAAAAACCGCTATCGGAAAGGCGGAAGATAGCATAAGGATATTCAAACTCATTACTTACAACACCATGGCAACAATTGAAAATCGAAGAAAAGACAATGAACATTCTACAAAACATAACATAGAAAAATAAAGACTGAGCAACGTCAACATTACTAAAAACCAGGGGGTAATCTCTAATGTTGCACATGTGTGTTGATCATATAAATACAAACTATATGATAGGTAAAGAGTAACGAGACAGAGCCGGATACTAAAGTGGTCACTAAATACGTTTTACGACCACCATCATGAACTGGGTTACCGTTCAGTTTTACAGTGTTTCAACTCACCAACAACATCTTTTCGAGGTTAACGATACATAAATACCAGATCGAATCTGTAAATTTATCATTTGCGTTGTAGTTCAGTTTGTGTGACATTTTGACTAAGTGCACATTTTCATGCCAGGTAAAGCATGTATAGCTTACCCTGTCGACACAACCGATTTGACTCCTTTTGATGTTCATTCAATTCCTTTAGCCTGATTTTTATCTGCTTAATAGATTCATGAGATTTGAACCTTGGTAAATTACTGTTGCCTCTAATTCACTAGGAGACAAACTGATGAAATAGCAGCCGCCTCAAGCCAGGATATCGAAGTCACGGTTATGGTGGAGTTTTTATTCCCCAAGGGTATCACCAGCCCAGTAGTCAGCACTTCTGTGTTGACATGAATTATCATTGATATGGTCATGATTATAAATTAACTGTTTACAAAACTTTACATTTTTGAAATACTTAGGCTTTTCTACCTCAGGAATAGATTACCTTAGCTGTAATTTTGGTCCTCAATGCTCTTCAACTTCATACTTTATTTGACCTTTTTAACTTTTTTTTATTCGAGCGTCACTGATGAGTCTTTTGTAGACGAAACGCGCGTCTGGCGCAAATACAAAATTTCAATCCTGGTATCTATGATGAGTTTATTATCATAATTTTCAATCGATCTATATTTTCTCGTACGCTTGTATATTTCGTTTCGTAATTAAAAAAGCTACAAGCAAGACAAAGAAGTTAACACTCTGATAATACGATCAGGCAAACCTTTGCGGTGATTTAAACTTTCTTCATAAAATTAACCAGCACAAATTTACAAAACCAATGTTTTTATCATAACCAGTGCAATATACAATATATAATGAGTATAAATATATTGAAATCAATGGTAACCCCAGTTCAAATATCAAATCAGTTTATACAGATCAGAATATAAAGCAGAACAATCACGACAATCGGAAACTTTCGAAAACTACAAACATGCAAATTGTATGCTATCGAGCAAACATTCATTTGTTCTTGACTTTGTTGAGGGATATATAAAGGAAACAGTAGTATACCGGTGTTCAAAAGTCATAAATCGATTGAGAGGAAACAAATCCGGGTTACAAACTAAAACCTAGGGACACACATCAACTATAAGAGGAAAACAAAGGAACAAGAGGAACACTGAAGTGCAACAAAAACAAACGCCAACATACATAGAAACGAACTATTTGATAACAACTGCCATATTCCTGACTTGGTACAGGATATAATAGAGTTTCAATTAGAGTTGCAAGAAACAGAAAAAAATATTCCTTTCTTGATGGGGTTCATTTTTCATATGTCCTTATATATAAATTGTTTTATATCCCAAAATTTTAGATACTTAGCCGAATAATATGACCAAGATGTATACTGCTAACAAGAATTGTCTTGAAATGTCCTATGATGCTGTACAAAAGCATGCATCAGAAACATTCGACCAGAACTCTATGTCATTGCACAACAACAAAAAATGTTCAAAAGCTTGACATTCATACTCCTAATATTATTAGGCTCAAGTTTCAACATTTTGTCATGTTTCTTATCCCCTATCGGGAACTTTGGACCGATGTTGATGTTGATTTTAATTAGATATAAGCAATAATTATTCCTAAATTCTAATTTTTAGGTTGTTTGCAAAGTTAAGGTAACAAATCCGTGAGTGGAAATTTAATAAATAGATCAATAAAAAGAGGCGGAAGATACAAGGAAAGGAGAGGGTCAGATTTCGAAGAGAAACCGGCAACACATTGCAAAAAATGGAAGAAAAAATAAACAACGGTCTACAAAACACTCCAAAGAAAACTAAAGAATATGCAATGCAACAAAAAACCAGTCTCGTGTGCTTTGGTAAGCAGATTCTGCTCCTCATTTGGCGTAAGGCATGTTGCTCGTGTAAAGTACAAATTCGGTAATGTCACAATCAAGGAAAAAAAACAAACTATTACATAAGGGTCGACCAACTTATGACGGTGTCCCAAAAACATTCGAAGGGATGATTTCAACATTTCCACTATAAACACTCGATTCAAAATCTTCCTTGTAAGCAATGTGACATAGGTATCATTTAATGTTCAGCAAATCTTGATGGCGTAAATCTGTCATGCAAAAAAACTTTTCAGTGTTGTTGCTTTGGTGTTAATTATAAGTTCAAAATGACCGCCAGCGGAAGTCAAAGTTTACATTGAAACCGTATGGAAGACTATAAATTTTGCTTTAAATTTCTTTTCAAGAACAGATAAAATGAAATAAAAACAAATCGTACAATAATATAACTTATATGGCACTTACCAAGTGTTGTAACTTTGTTCGTGAATGAGGAATCAAGGGATACTTCACTCATATGGGATCTTTACAAAACATTTCTGTAAAGTTTAGTTTCATCTCCAGGAGAAGTGTTCCTGTGTTCAGTCAATCAGAAATTAGAAAATGCATGTCAGAAATGTTTGATGAAAATGCAAAAATGTTTATAACTTGCATAACAGAATTACATTATTGTGTATACATTTGTGTCACAGCTTCAGTAACCTTACAGACCAATAAAAGAAAAGTGGAAGTAGTGCACACAAGATAAGTAATCTCAAGAATTGAAATTCAATCAATTTAAAAAATATATATAGAAGTGTATACAATTAGTACGGAAAGCCTGGCTGCTAAGACCTTCACACAACACAAACGACAACATCTGTAACAGTAAAGGAAAATATTGATATGTTGCACTTAATCGTGGAAAAAGTCTCTTCACGCACCCATAGCAACAGAAGAACGCTTTATTGCTTTTTATAAATCTTAAACGCACAGCGAGGCCACGGACCAAAAGCTGACACTTCAGTTCAAATTCAAAACATCGGTTACGTTTTTACCAAAAAAATTATAAAAAAAAATGCCGAACTCCAAGATAAGTCCATAAAACTTAACAAAATCAAACGTTAGACTTTATCAACCAACAGAACGAATGGAAACAACTGTCATATTCCTGACTTATTACATGCATTTTCCGAAGAAAATGATGGGTTTAACCTGGTTTTATAGCTGCTAGCTAAACGTCCCACTTGTATGACAGTTGTTTATAGTTCCGTTATATTGACAAAATTGAGTAAGCAAACCAAACAGAGATAATAGGTTAATATGACAATAATTGAGATCCACCAGCCGATACACGGCACAAGTGCGGAATATGTCAATTATTGGTATGGTTACGAAACTTAACATTGATTTTTTTACTAATCACAAGTGTTACTTTTCAATTATTTCCAAGTTGTACCAGTTATTCAACTTTTATACTCTATGCGTACATGATTTTATGACCAATTAAAAATATAATGTGTGATTAATAATACAATTTCACTTAAACTAATATCAATTAATCTAAGATCAATTGATGTCGACAAGGGTACATTTATTGGATACTAATGAAAACAAAGCATCTTACTTTTTTCTATAAAGCTAATCCACCAATTGTTTGAAATAGTAAAAAGCTGAAAAAGCCTTGATAATTTTTGCCATTTCATTTACAATGGAACAGCGCTTTTTGGCTTTATTCTTCTAAAGGCCAAAGTGAATCTAACAATATTGAACAAAGGCTCACTTCAGTGCATGTTCTTGACGACACCTGAAACCCGATTGAACAGAAATCATCAATAGATGTCAATAACAATATTGTGTAATGAAACCTAAGTTGCGGTGTTGTATCATTTACACAACAGACTGTAGAGAGCAAAGAATTGAATAAATTATGTCATAGTGATTTAAAACTGACGGTAAAATAGTGAAAATATGCAAATATTTAACAACCACAAGATGCAAACTCTTTCAATGGGATGTAAGATAAGAGATATGGCGTATTAAACCATGACACAAAATCTATCACTCATTAACAAACTCAAAAGCAACGAAACAATTAAAATCATCCATTTCATTCACATGAAGTGGGGCATTCAACACGGAACAAAAGCTCAGCATATCCCTAAGCATCACTTTTAGCCGATTCCTCCGCTAGATTTCGA